GTCTGTCTGTGGTTCTGATTTCCTTGTGTTCGAGCTGGTTCAAATCCGCCTATGACCACACATCCTGCCTCTGGCCCCAGCTTGTCCTCATGGGGCTCTTAGTGGTTGCCACCCAAGGAACTCTGATGGAGCAGCAGATCGTGAACTTGTGTTGTGGGGGTGGGGTGGGGGGGGTGGGGGAGTAGTGAGGTTGGAGTGGGGAGGTCAGGAAGCTAGAAAGAGTCATATGATTTAAAAAAAAGTAAACCTAGGGCTTCCCTGGTGGCGCAGTGGTTGAGAGTCCGTCTGTCGATGCAGGAGACACGGGGTTCATGCCCCGGTCCAGGAAGATCCCACATGCCACGGAGCGGCTGGGCCCGTGAGCCATGGCCGCTGAGCCTGCGCGTCTGGAGCCTGTGCTCCACAACGGGGGAAGCCACAACAGTGAGAGGCCCGTGTACTGCAAAAAAAAAAAAAAGAAAAAATAAACCTGAAATTTTGGAATAATTTTATTTTTAAAAAATTTATCATTATTATTATTTTTTGGCTGTGTTGGGTCTTCATTGCTGCACGCGGGCTTTCTCTAGTTGTGGTGAGCTGGGGTTATGCTTCGTTGCGGTGCGTGGGCTTCTCATTGCAGCAGCTTCTCTTGTTGCGGAGCACGGGCTCTAGGCGTGTGGGCTTCAGTAGTTGTGGCACGTGGGCTCAGCAGTTATGGCGCACGGGCTTACTTGCTCTGCAGCATGTGGGATCTTCCCGGACCAGGGATCAAACCCGTGTCCCCTGCATTGGCAGGCAGATTCTTAACCCCTGGGCCACCAGGGAAGTCCCTTGGAATAATTGTAGATTAATAGAAAAGTTGCAACGATAGTACAGAGTCCCGTACACCCTTTAGCCCAGTTTCCCCTCATGTTAACATCTTATTTAACCAAGGTACTTTAATTAAAACTGAGAGATTCACATGGGTACCTTACTAGTAATTAAACTCCCGTCTTTATTTGTATTTCACCGGTTTTTCCATCAATGTCCTTTTTCTGTTCCAGGCTCTAATCCTGGATCTCACATTGTATTTAGCCCACATGATTTGGAAGATGATGTTTTATTTAAAAATTCATGCGTGTCGCTCTCTTCTTCATAATCCATGTGGGTTGATTTTATGTGAGAATAAAGCTTCTCCCAGCCAAATATTCCGGTAAACAATTGTCACTGTGTTGTTTCTCGTGGCTTCCCTGGCGATTCTGCACACTGCTGTGGATCTTTGGGGAGTGAAGCATGATCCCAAGAGGACAGTCTCACGGCGTCTTCTGGATACACAATATTAAAATCTGCTGACTGCAGTTCTGATATGAACAAGAAACAGGGATCATTGGGCTGATCTAGGGCTGAGGACAGCAGAGGGGTGGGTGAGAAAGGATGGATGTGAGGGTATTTGGGGGAGGTTTGGGGAGAAGAGGGATCTTGGGGTGCTAGCCCGGCGTTTCCTGAGAGGCAGGGACATGATGTTTGATCTGTGAGTAGGTGTGTCCTGGGTTCCCCTGGCTCATTGGTCCTCCACCTGTGTCTCTCTCTCTTTTCTATCTTTTCACATGGGTATCTATTTGCAGCATCACAGTTGGTCTTGGTTTTGCTTGCATTCCTGGTCAGCTGGAATAATTAGAGTTAAGAGGCGAACATTACTCCTGCTTTGAGGAAGACAGGATCTTCCTGTTTGGAGGCCCGAAGGACTGGGGGGGAGGAAGCAGAATGCAGGGGGGGTGATGGGTCAGTTAAGGCCCCTGCTCTTCGCCCCGCCCCCGCCCCAGACCCACTCTCCTTCTGGTGCAGGTCTCTGTCCAGTGTCTGCTGATGTCATTTCCATGCTTCTGGTTTCTAAGTCTCACTGCTTCAAGTGATAGACAGGCTGGTGGGGCTGTGGGAGGATGTGGGAGGGAAGGCATTTGAAGTTTGGTTTTGGAACTCTGGCTCCTTTTGAAAGAATAGCCAGTGACTTCCGGGAGAGCCCTCTGCAGGCTGGCTGTTCCGGTCAGGGCCTGGGTGGAGGTGGGAGGAGGGGTAGTGGATGGAAAACCCCTCCCTGGCTGGGTGGGCCTGAGGCCAGAGGGCCAGTCCACACCCTCAGGCTTCCACCCCATGGCTCCCAAGGCCTCGTACTTTTTGGAAGGAGGAGGCCTGCAGAAGTCCAGCACCAAGTCAGCAGGCAGGAGAGCCCTGGGTATAGGGCTCCCCGGAGCCTGCAGACACCGGTGGATTAAGGGGTCAACTCTCCTCATCTCTGTGTGGAGGGAGCCAGGATGTGTGTTGGGGAACAGGGAGAATTTCCCACCATCTCCATCGTTCTCTGCTATAAATCCACTTCCTGGTCCATATGTGATCATCTCAAAGGTCCATAGTAGGTGCTCAGTGCCTTAAGAACCCTTGAATGGTTGTTTGAAGCCTCATCATTTCCCACCTCCAGTTGTCCCCCCATTTCAGACCATGTCAGCTGGTTTAGAAAGGAACACAGGTTTATTGTGCTAGGTGTGTTTCGGGGTGCTTGCCTGCCCATCTCGTTGCAGACTCTGTAGGAAGTGCTGGCTTTAAAAGTGGAAGGGGCGTTCATTCACGTGAACTCTTGCTGGAGGCAAACACCCTGTTCGAGTCATTAGCTTCCCAGAACTTCTCGAAGGCACCATCCACCTCCTCACCTCTCATGAATTCCTCAGGCCTCTTCCCACCAGCCCATGGAAACAGATGTGATAGTCCGTGGATTTAGTGGAGATGCAGATTTTGAAGTTGCTCTTACTAGAGGCGCCAATGACCTCCTCGTCTTCAGGCTACGGTTTGGTTCTCGTCTTCATGTCCTCACCGCTCTGCTGCATAGAACCGTTTCTCTTCCTTTTGTCTATCAGCTCTCCTGGTCCCCTGGCTATCACTCTTTCCTGCTCCCGGATCTCCTCGCTGGTCCCTGGTCTCCCTCATCTCTTTCCACTCGTCCTCTGCCAGCCTCTCATCTTCAGCTCTCTTTTTCCCTAGACCCTCCCTCTGGCTCAGCTCACCTGAGATCTCCACACAGCATATCTCCAGCCTAAACTTCCCCTTGAGCCCATCACATCTCATTTGGTTATTTCACCTGCATATCTTCCATCTACTCAGAGTCAACAAGTCCTAAACGGAGCACATCCTCTGTTCCCCGATTTGCCCCTCCTCCCATATTCCCCTGTTTTGTTTGCTGTACATAATCACCTAAAACAGAAACCTGGAAATCAACAGAGACTCCTCCCTCTCCCTCATCCTTCACGTCTCCTTAGTCACCAAGTGGTGTAGCTTCTCATCAGAAATCTCTTTAACTCCGTCCCTGCTCTCCCTCCCCGCCATCGCTGTCTTGGTTCACGCCTTTATCATTTCTCCCTTGGATTATTGCACAACATCCCAACTGACTTTTCTACCTCCAGATACTTCCAACTTCAGTCCCTCCTCTCCTTAGCTGCCAGCATTCTCTTTCTAAAAACAGATCCAAAATGTCATTTTCTGCCTAAAAGCTTCCAATGGTTTCCCACTGCCAAGAGAATAAGATCCAAATTTTTATCTTAGCACACAGGGCCTTTCGTGGTCTACGTCGAGTTTATCTTACCATCTACCTCTCCCATCACTGACCCTCCTGCACGCTTTGCCCCGCCATCCATGCCTCTCCCCATCTCCAATCATGCTGCCTTTTTTTCACACTCTGCTTTTGCACGTACAGATTTGCTAGGGACGGAATGCTTGTGTCTCCCCAAAATTCATGTTGAAATCTGAATCCCCAATCTGATGGTGTTTAGAGTTGGGGCCATTGGGAGGTGATTAGGTCATGAGGACAGAGCCCTTATGATCAGATTAGTGCCCTTATAAAATGAGACCCCATAGAGCTCCCTCGCCCCTTCTGCCATGGAAGGGCATGGTGATAAGAGCCATTTATGAACCAGGAAGTGGGCCCTCAGCAGACACCAAATCTGCCAGCACCCTAATGTTGGACTTCCCAGCCTCCAGAACCATGAGAAACACATTTCTGTTTATAAACCCACCCACCTGCTCTATTTTTGTTATAGCAGAGGCTGAACAAACTAAGACAAGGTCCTTGTCTGAAAAGTCCTAGTCCGTCTGGCACGATTCTACTTGGATAGAATTCAAGGCCCTGCTCTGCAAAACCTCCCCTAACTGTCAGCTAAACATCAATAGTTGTCCCCTCTAAATTCCCACATTCCTCTGTCTCTAAAGAGCACATGTCACTTCATTTTGCATTTATTTTTCTATGTCTGTCTGAGTCTACTGGATCTTGAGGCCAAGGATCGATGCAAACTGGTGTATATAGAATGGATAAACAACAAGGTCCTACTGGAAAGCGCAGGGAACCATATTCAATATCCTGTGATAAACCATATGGAAAAGACTATGATAAAGAATATGTATATGCATAACTGAGTCACTTTGCTGCACAGCAGTAATTAACACAACATTGTAATTCAACTATACTTCAATAAAAAATAGATTTTTTTCCATAGAAAGCAGAAAAAGAATTCATTCCAAAAGAGGGCAGAAATAAGAAATTCATCCTGAAAATATACTTTGGTATAATTCTGGTGGGACAGATTTTCCCTCTGAGCATGTTCTCTTACTGACGGCCCCACTGGAGTCTTATCGTCATGTAACAGTTTTTAAACACTTCTCTGATTCTCATGTTGTGAGCAGGCAGGAACCATCTTCAAATCCACACTTTCCAAGGAGAGAGTAATGTTATTTCTCAGAAGAACAGCACTTTCTATCTTGGAAGAGTACATAAACATTTTATAGAGGAGCACAGTTTAGATTCAATAGACACGTCATTCATCAAAGTGTAAAAAATGTGGCAGGAAAGAATTCTGCATTGTAGAATAAGATATTCACATGTGGTGGGAACGCTTAAGGCAGCTGATGGCCAAAGTGGGCGAGTCAAGGAAGATGGTCTGCGTATGGAGGTGATTTTGCATCCAGAGGAGTTCTCTTCGTGACCTCAGCGACTGAGCACTGGCGAGCAGGTCTTCTTCCTCAAGGCCAATGATGCTTGAGGTACCAGATGGTTTCATTTTTCAACTGTGGTCCAAAGAGACGGTTGAGTTGGGCCAGAATTGCAATCAGCCAAAAGAGATAGCAGCAAACGGAACAGGTCACCAACATGGTGATGCTAACTCCCCGGTTGGGACCCTTTGGGATGAACCAGGGCATCAGGAAGCCGACAAAGCCCCAGAACACGCTCATCACGATGAGAGGCACGGTGAGGCCAGTATATGCCATGATTTCTGTGGGAGGTGCCAGCCTCTGCCCTGCTGCCTCACTTTGGTCCCACCCCAAAAAATAGATTAAAAAAAAAAAGAAAGCTTGCTAAACTCTTCCCAGGTATACAGTAGCATCAGATTTTCCAAGAGACAGGGAACCAGGATCTGTGGAGTCCCTTGGTTCTGAGTTGCTGACCAGCATGGAGCTCTCAGCACATGTGGTATGAGAGTGATCTCAAGCCAAATTCACATGGGTATGTTGATCTCTGCAGGCCTGACCTCTTCTCCCTGGGGTTTGTAGTCCAGAAAGAGACCCTCTGTGACAAGCCCAGGTCTAGGATGAGGGGAGTAGGCACTTGCTATAGGCCCAAAATATAATGAGGCACCAAAAAACCCAGTAATCAAGAGAAATGAAATTTAACACAATATTCAAAAAAATCAGTAAACTACAGCCCATGGGCTGGCTGCCTGCTTTTTATTTTATTTTATTTATTAAGTTTTTAAACATAAGTTGGTTTTTTTTTCACTTATGATTTTGGTAAATACTTTAAAAAAATTATTTATTATTTTTGGCTGCTCTGGGTCTTAGTTGTGGCATGTGGGATCTAGTTTCCCAACCAGGGATCGAACCCTGGCCTGCTGCACTGGGAGAGTGGAATCTTACCCACTGGACCACCAGGGAAGTCCTTGCCTGCTTTTTTTTTTTTTTTTTAAACATCTTTATTGGAGTATAATTGCTTTACAGTGGTGTGTTAGTTTCTGCTGTATAACAAAGTGAATCAGTTATACCTATACATATATTCCCATATCCCCTCCCTCTTGGGTCTCCCTCCCATCCTCCTTGTCCCACCCCTCTAGGGGGTCACAAAGCACCGAGCTGATCTCCCTGTGCTATGTGGCTGCTTCCCACTAGCTATCTATTTTACATTTGATAGTGTATATATGTCCATGCCACTCTCTCACTTTGTCCCAGCTTACCCTTCCCCCTCCCTGTGTCCTCAAGTCCATTCTCTACGTCTCCATCTTTATTCCTGTCCTGCCCCTAGGTTCTTCAGAACCATTTTTTTTTTTTTTTTTAGATTCCATATGTATGTGTTAGCATACGGTATTTGTTTTTCTCTTTCTGACTTACTTCACTCTGTATGACAGACTCTAGGTCCTTCCACCTCACTACAAATAACTCAATTTCGTGTCTTTTTATGGCTGAGTAATATTACATTGTACATATGTGTCACATCTTCTTTATCCACTCATCTGTTGATGGACACTTAGGTTGCTTCCATGACCTGGCTATTATAAATAGAGCTGCAATGAACACTGTGCTACATGATTCTTTTTTTTTTTTTTTGTGGTATGCGGGCCTCTCACTGCTGTGGCCTCTCCCGTTGCAGAGCACAGGCTCGGGACACATAGGCTCAGCGGCCATGGCCCACGGGCCCAGCCGCTCCGCGGCATGTGGGATCTTCCCGGACCGCGGCACGAACCCCTGTCCCCTGCATCGGCAGGCGGACTCCCAACCACTACGCCACCAGGGAAGCCCTGTTTGTGGATTTTTTGATGATGCCTGCCTGCTTTTTAAAATAAAGTTTTATTGGAACCAGGGCTGGGCTAAGGAAGATGAGGTAGGGGACTGAGAACAAGGTTGGATCTTGTCTTTATTCGAAAAATTTGTTCATCATGAATTTTTGCATTAATTTTGATTAAAATACTGCATTCAAATATTATCTATCTTGATTTCTGAGGTTTGGGGCACCCCCCTTACCTTCTGTGCCCCAGGAAGTGCCTCACTAATCTTCCAGAGTTTCCCCCAGTGTCCTGAAGACGATGGGTCCCAAGACAGGCAGCTGTAGGTCACTGTCAGGCCCCCAGGGCTCACTTCCCCTGGGTCCCTGGCTGACCACAGCCCCAGCCAGCCTGTATGGAGGGGCTGAGGGCCTGGACACCTTCTGTCCTTTGGGAATTGTGGCATGAGGTTTTTCTTTGGATTCCTTAGGAAGTTAGGTCTCCCCTGGCCCACTGGCATTGGATTATTGAACAGCTCCTATCTGCCAGCCACTGGGGGTAACAGAACTGAGATTCTAAATGCCTTTTAAACCCTGCCCTCCAGCCCCTTTGCCCTGCCTGATCCGCCCCGTCCTCTCTTCTGACTGGTCCCTCTCCTCTAACCTCACCACTTTGCACCCTAGCTTCCACAGCACCACCAGGGTCACCGGGATAAGGTGCACATCTGACCTCAGTGTTCCCCGGATAAACTCTCCAGCGCCCTGGGCATAAGTCCCAACACCCTAAACAAACCCTGTTCCTGGGCCAGCCCAGCCCTCGAATCCCATCTATGTTCCAGGCTCACCAGACTCCTCAGGATGTTGCTGTATGTGTCTTTCCTTCTTTCCTTCTCCTCTGTCTTTGCACATATGGTTCCTTCCTCTTGGATGCCTTGTCCCCGGAACCAGCCCAAGGGCCTTCTCCTATTATGCTCTGTGATTCTCCTCTGTTTACCTCAGTTATCCCATTCATTCCTCTGCAATGTGGTTATTTATTTACAGGGCTGTGCCCTCACCCCTCCCCCACCCGCCCCCACCAAACTGTGAGCTCTTGGAGGTCAGGTCATGACCATTTTGTATCCCCTCCCCTCCTGCAGCGCCCCAGCCCCACACCCGCAGTACAGGGCCTGGCAGAAAATAGGCTCTGAGTGAATGAACGAATGCATGAATGGAGAGGACATAGTCTTGTTTGCCCCTCTAGGATTTGCTACGCTCGCAGCAAGATTTTGAGCAGAGCCCTCAGCCCTGGCTTCATTCTAGAGCTCACAGCATCAGATTTGGAAGTCAGGGGTTCCTGGTGCCCCAGCAGTAGGGAAGTCAAATGAGAAGACACTTCAGGAGAGCTGGGCCACTCCAGGGGAGGAAATGAAAACTAAATTGAATTAATTAGTGGTCGTATTGAACCCTGCTTCTTGAATGTGCTAAAGTCTGATTAAACAAACAACAAAAAAGATAAAATCGCTTAGCTACTTTTTTTTTTTTTTGGTAAGAGAAAAGAGAAGAAAACAAAATGTTGATTTAAGATGCGGCCCAGGGCTGGGGGCCCAGGGGAAACCTGGTGAAGGCTCCTGTTGTTTGGGGTCGGAGGTCGCGGGAGCAACGCTGCCTGGGGATCCAGCTCAAGGTTCTGGAGTGATGGAAAAACCTGGCCTGACGCTTTTCCTCAGCGGACCCTTAACTCGCTAACAGGAGCCAGCTGAGCGAACACAAACAGAGGTGCTGTGCCGGCACCGATCCCAGCTTCCTCTGAAATTTCCAGGCCTCTTTTTTCCTGTCGGATTCCAGACAGATGAAATTTTCCTGGCCCCAGCCCTGCTCCTGGCAGCATCTCCCCTCTGAATCACCATAAATCAGGGCTGGGGGCGAGTGATGGGATTTTCCTGATTGACAAGCCGCTACCCTGATAAAATGGGGGCTCCGTTTCCTAGGCCGAAAATAGCTCTGGGGTTGCTGTCCTGAGTCCTCCCCATCCCAAATCCCTGTAGGTATCTGCTTTGGATTTTAAATATTCATATCTGTCTGTGATTATGATTTCATCGAGAAGGGCTGTGGACGTGCAGATGTGAACTGCTGGGGGCCGCGGTGGTCGTAAGCGACACCATTGTTCGCAGGGTCACTTGCGGAGGGGGGGCGTGCTGTGCATTCCTCAGAGCCTCCATCATCCACGGAGTCCCCAATTAATTTCAATACAAACACCGGATCTGGCCTCTCCTGCGCCTTTGCAGCCATAACACATGAGGTCATGCTGCTTTGGTTAACCGGAGGAGTTTTGGGGCGAGATGGTGGTGGTGGGGGCCTTCCAAGTCCCTGGGGGATCTGTCCTGCATGGCTCAGGCTGGGCTGTTTACTGCAGGGGGTCCATCTGCGCACCTGAACTCTCTTTCTCACCATCCTTTTCTCAGAAACTCTGAAATCTTTTATTCTTTCTTTTCCCAGTCCCTCCAGCTTCATCACAACCACGCCATTGATAACCCACTGTCCCTGCAGTTCTTTGAAAACACCCAGAGCCCCTCACCCTCTGTACTTTTGCTCAAACAGCTTCATCCACTCGGGGCATGTTTTTGCCCCTTCATATGGCTCCTTGTTCTTGAAGATTTCCTGAAAGAGTTTCTTCCTCCAGGAAGCCTTCCCCATCACTCCATTCAGACTTAAGTACCATTCTCTCCTCTGTATTCCTATAGCTGACAGATTCTCAAACATGAGCCTGCGTCAGAGTCACCTGGAGGGTTTGTTAAAATACAGATTGCTAGGCCCACCCCCAGTTTCTGAATCAACAGGTCTGGAGAAAGACCTGTGAATTTGTATTTCTAACAAAATCGCAGGAGATATTGATGCTGCTCTAGCCCCACGTGAGCACCTCCAGTGATAGAACTTATTCTGCTGTGTTGCTATGACCTGTTTGTAGTTTTCATCTACTGGGAGGGCTGGGATGGTCTTTTTCAGCTCTATAGCCCAATACACAGTGAAGTTGCCCACTGGAGGTTTGTTGATTGAATTGTGGACACAGAACCGACTTGCTGGTCACAGAGCTCAGTGGAGGGGAGGAGGGTGGCAGACAGAGCCTGCCCTTTAAGGACCTGGCTGCTGTTGCGCAGAGGGGGGCGCCCGGGCAAGAGGACTGGTTCGTGGGGGATCTCTGGAGCATGAGTGGGGGTCAGCCCCACTTTCTGCAGGTCTCTCAGAAAGCCTGAAACAGGAGGGTCACTGATTCAGCTGCTGGGCAGAGATGCCAGAGGAGGAATGGGAGTCAGGGTTTCAAGTTGCTTTTCTCCCTTTGAGACCCGGGAACGCCCAGATGATGAAAGGACATGGGGACCCTGTCCCTTTTCTTGAGCACCATCTGAATGCCAGCTCCTGCCACCTCATGCTCCAGCCACATGGCCAGGTGAGATCTCAGCCCCTGCCCCAAACTATGAGGACACATCCTATGCCTTAATCATCTTTGTAGCTGCCCCGTCCCCTTCCACACTTTGAACTG